AACACTAATATCACTTATTTTTTTTTTTTAATAAAAATTTATGATATCTTTAAATTTATATTTCATTAAAAAATAAAAACATTTTTTTCCTCATAACCACATAGCATCATAATATTGATAGACTCAAAATATAAAACGAAACATTAAAATCAAGATGTATCTCGCTGCATTGTGTGAGTACCCTTCTAGTATATATATATATATATATAACCAAAACTATTGTACAAACTATGCTAACCAACATCAACCAATCATGTTCCATCTTTTAGTTAGGTTCAAATGTAACTCATATATTAATTGTAAGGGTATTTAGGTAATTTATCATTCTTATGTAACTCCCAAATATTTTAATTGGGAGTTACAAATCTTAAAATATCACTAATTGATCTTCATGTAATAATGACATTAAGTTTAACATATGTTCATCTTACTGAATTTTACATTTATTCTTCCTATAATGGTTTTGATATTGTAAATTTGAAAAAAGTCCATTTTGTAAAGATTTCGTTATAGTCCGAGTAATATGAATAATCATAGAGTAAAACGGATCGATGACAATGAGAATGAAATGCTAAAAGCGTCTACGAATACATTCGGAATTCGAATTCCGAAAGTGAAGAAAATAATCAATAAGTGTCCCAATATGAACAAACGATAGCTATGAACACGCTAATGTGAACACGCCTACATTAAAGATTTGAGTTCGGGATGACAAACAATATACATTCTTCACTAAGTTTTGAATTTAAGTAAATCCCCATCCTTGTTGCTCCTTTTAATTATCTACTTTGTGTAATTATAGTTTTAGTTTTGAAGACTAACTACATAGGGGTTGTTCATTATGTTCATTATAGATTTGACTTCGGGATGGAAAACAATATACATTATTCACTAAGTTTTCAATTTCAGTAAATTCACATCCTTGTTGCTCTTTTTAATTATCTAATTTGTGTAATAATAGTTTTAGTTTTGTTACTGTTTTATGTCATATAGCACAAATCATATCATGCTTATATAGGGGCTGTTCATTATGTTCACTGTGCTATATTACTTGATCACACATAGCGATTACATTTTTCATACTAGGATGCCTTAAGACATTTGTGCACAGACACACATATATTAACATATATCAAATCAACACAAATAACACAAACATAGACGTTGGGATTCGTTACTCTTTTTTGTCATATTGCTGATGTTCATTAGGTTCACAAATCCAAACTTGTATTTATTTATTTGTGAAGTGTTGCGTGTGTGTGATGTTCATTAGGTTCACACATCCAAACTTGTATGCATTTCGCCAAAATCATCCATCGTTTTGATGAATATTATGAACCAGATTTTTCGCTAATGATATACACTATTGATCGTATAGATTGACAGTTTCGTAGTTGATTGGAGGTTACAAAATTGTCTGAATAATATAGGTTCACGATGTGATGCGATTTTTTTACAAAATTA